AATCTTGCGAAGTGCTGATGACATATATGCGCTCCTGCGAGTGGTCTTGCTGCATGATGAGCGTTCCTTAAACAGTTACAGTACGCAAGATACGTCACGCTGCCGTTGATACCGTGTGAATTGCGCTAATTCAAAATTTTAAAATTAATTTATCCGAACTCTCTACTTAAACTGCACTTCCGCAACCAAACGAATTTGAACAGAATCAGGCGAAGGTACATTAAATCCTCTAGAACCGTAGAATATGCACTGACAACATGTGCATGACATACCGATTTCAGCCAATGATTTCTGGCATGTATCACTGACGGTAGCATCCATTCGCTGAGGAGGCCATGGCCCTAAATCAGTGCAGTTACATTAACGAAAACGAGAACATTAAAAGCTGAAAATTACAGATTTGAGGTAAGAAGCACGAAAAGTATAAGAGGGCATTTTAAAGTTGTTCTGAAAGTAAGACATACGCAAGCAAATCCTTATGACGTTGGTTATATTCGGAAACATTTCTTCTTCAATGCAAAAGATCATGTACCGTATTAAAGGCATGTGGTACATACGCCTCTATTAGTTGACTATATTCATGTGCTGTTAGAGTAGTGCAGCTATTGTAATAGTGCAGATACTTGTAGCAAAACACTCACAGAGCCTGTATGGGTAAATCTGTAAATCATAGTGCATCAACAACTATATTTCCGTACAGTGTGGCATATTAATACGTTGTTCCAGTAGTAAGGGGGTAAAGCGAGCGTAGTACAAGTGTAGTCTGACTACTTCAATACTATCTGTTAATCTGGCATATCAATATAGTATAATAGTACTACACTGACACTAAATTATATTAGTCATGATAATATTTTACCGAACTGCTATGAAAATGGAACAGTAGACATACTGCTGCGAGTTAGTTAACATATTCCTAAGGCTAGTAAATTACATAACAGCATGGCTGTCTCTCAGTGAAGAAGCCCGCCAGCTGTTCTAAATATTCCCAGTACTCAAAGGGCGTATACTTGCGTATACTTGCTGCATCTATGCATTAATACTTGTCTACGCCGCGCAAACTCGGCTTATATTAATATTGATACTGTGGTAATAAAATATCATGCTATTGTAATGCTTGTATAGTGCAGTTAGTTCACTACTGTCGTGGTAAACTTCTAATAGCACAATAGCGTAGGGACGTTATAGAAAATTAGATAGTTTATCGTACAGTATATGTACAGAGGGATACATCACAGGTACTACACAATACCAAAGACGACATCATATTGGTATACTGGTAAGCAGTTAATAATAAACTAAATCTGTTATATGTATGCTATAGTTCCTTACTAGTAAGCCAACAGATCAGCAGAGTAGGTGGCCAGCAGTAAAGTATTATAGCATTTACGCAGTAGAGTTATTGGACAACTTTACCAAGCACTTATCATATTACAGTACTACTGCATCACTACTACCGTGTACTGGAATGTTAGTAAACAACTGTCAGCTATTTGTACGCTGTTTTTCATAATATTCTAATATATGGTAATCTGACAAAAATATCGTGTGTATTCCACCTGATTCTGGTTCAAGCGACCACATGCACGTAGAAATGGGCTCAATCGCAGAAGGAAACATGTACATCCCGACAGATCAACGAACACTGGTCGCGTACCACAAATTAGATATGACATAGAAAACTTATTTAACAAAGGGACACAATTCCCTAAGCTGAAACAGCCTGTTTCATAGCCCTGTTAGGCATCAAAGATATCTTCAGGAAAGAGTTTAGCTTACGTTCAGATTGACAATATATCTCTCATTATTCGAACCTCGAGAAAATGGGAATGAAATTAAAGAAGGTATTTTTATAGACTGAGAAAAGGTTTCCAGTTAAAAAACTGTGCTAAAAAAGTTGTCAGGAATGAGAACTTGTAATTTATACAGAGAAAAAATCCAGATTCATATATTTTCTGTCATTCTTATTCTGAATCTACAATCATCTCAAATAAACAGTTATACCTTTATTTCTAGCTTGAGAAATCATGCATAAATTGGACGTCTATTAAGCAATTAGGAAAATTATTTTGTTATAAGGAAACAAAGTGATCCCACTCCGTAAATAAGCACTTACTGCCGACTCAGTAGCTACTCC